GGGTTTGTTGTGGGCTCTATTTCCTCCAGAACAGCAGGTTCCTCTGGAGGTGTGTCTTCAACACAATTTAGGAGATGGTCGTTTATTGCCTTAGGCAAAACTTCCTCCTCCTTATTTTCTTGAATAAGCATAGGTGGTTCTCAGTCAGTTGGGTCCACCTCATGTACGATTATGCTGGTTGGGACTTGGCTAAGAAATCACCACAGTAGCCCTAGCGAGAGTTATTATGCTCTCAGGTTTCTGTGATGGTGCGGGACTAAGTGAATCTTCTGGAACCGCGACTTGATCGTTGAATGGTTCAAGGTTGGTCTTAGGTTCTAGAGCCTCTTTTTGAACATTAATCTTCCTCATTTGATCTTGAGATTGGAGGGAGCGTTTAAGTTCATGATTAATTTATCAGCTTTAGCCTCGGCTTCTAGTCTCTCTCTTTGAAAGTCACCCAGCATTTTCTGCATCATTTCTGATCCTTCACATAATCTCCTTTCGAACTCCTTTTCCTTCTGGACTGATTCAAGAAGTTTTGCTCTTTCTCGAATTGCCACCTTGTTTGCTTCAATTTGTTCTTCAGCAAATAAGGTGTAGTCACGGCAGTAAGGTGGCTACCAGGAGCCAGCGAATATAACTTCGTCGAAATAGAAAATGTTCTATTCTAATCTTATGATTTCTTTGACGAGTGGATCAGGTTGGTTGTCATACATAGCCCATTGTGGTCATAGTCATTGTGATCACCATGAGGTTCATAATAATCATCCCCGTCAGTGTCTTGGTATGGAAAATATTCAAAGTTTTGAGACGGGGTATTATATGGTGATTTCTCATGGTATGGATAGTAGTCAGACCCATTGTTGACTTGGTAGTCATCATCATATGGGTTCTGATGTGGGTAGTAAGGTGGATGGGTTTGAAACGGAGGGCGGTTGGGTGATTAGTAGAAAGAAGGCGGTCCGTAATAACCACTGGAGTTATCCATAATAATTATTACGGGTGGTTGATGAAAAAGAAGTGAGAAGATCGTTCTAACCCATCTTCACCCAAGCTAATCACAAGAAATTAAACTAATGCTGTGCCACTCCCGGCAACGGCGTCATTTGACGATTGTAGTTATTTGGGTAGTAAACCTTCCCAAAAAAGGGTTAGTTTTCTCTCCGAGTGTCGTGTCTCTCGAGGAGTGGACGAAGGGAATTAGTCTAATTATTCTAACTAGGCGAAGGCTAGAATTGGTTTATGAAAGTCTTCTCGGAACGAATAAAAGAGGAGCAGAGTAAAAATAATAAATAAATTTCACATAGTATAAGTATAGATTTGGACCTAGTGTCAGGACACCATTTGGATCTATTTTATCATATTAAATTAACAATTATAATAATAGTATTTCTATTACTACTCATCCATTTCTAGATTTGTACTTAATCCGTTGTACTTGAATATCATAGGCCTTTGGCGTACAATATTTTCTCAATAAATGGCCAATTAAATCTTACAAGTTTAATTAACCAAATAAGGCAAGAACGATAGACTAACCATTCCAACATTAATTTAACGTAAAAAATAAACAACCAAATTAGTTCGGACCTAGATATCCGGACCCTAACTCATACTATGCAAACATAAATTAAAACAACATTTTATTAAATAAAGGAAACTTACAACTTCCGTCAAAGCGGAACAGAACAGATCGGGAGCAGAATTTCTCCAAAAATTATTCTAAAACTGCTAATATGCTAAACTAGAACACGGAACTGGAATGTGAAGCTCTAATCCCGAGATTGGGACTGAAAGTGATGATGGAATGGTGTGAAACGTGCTGTATTTATAGGACAGAGGCCGAGGCGTCCAAGTAGAAGCGTCCAAGTCCAGGCATCCAGATCGGAACGCTTGAGCTGTTCCAGCCAACCAGGTTTTGCCATGTGTCTTTCTTGGAGCGCAATTTAAGCCAGACATCCAACTCAAAGCGTCCAACTTGGTCAGGCGTCCAACTTGGATGCCGTAGGGCCTTGGTCCGTTGGGCTACGCGGCTGGTGCGAGATCTTGGCCCAATTTCGCTCCTTTTTGGCCTGAACGTCGATTTTAACCTCCCGAAAGCTCGTTCAAGCCCGAATCTTGACCCTTTGATGATTGATTCCCTTTTTCTCTAGTATTTGAACATAAAATGGATGTTTATGATGATTTCATGTGGAATCCCTTTTTATGACTCTTAGAACGAAAATGAGAGTTTTATCCATTAAAATCACATTTTAGGAGATGATTAAATACTATTTACGTGCAATAACGTTTAGAATATGATGTAAATGATAAGAACGAAACGGACTTATCACGAAGAATGGTAAACTTCACCATAAGGAGATCAAGGAGGAGGAAACCATAAAGTTTATCTTATTTCATATTAAGAGCTTTCTTATTTACAAAAGAGCTGTGATTTAAAAGGTTGATGTAACCCTATTAAAAACTGTGATGTGTTTGGCTTGAGGAGTAATAACATTGTGCTTTCGGTTCAAAAAAAAAAAGAAGACTGAGGGCCAGCAGGCTGATTAACTGAGAAAGAGTTCGATGATTAGTGCCCCTAAAAAGAAGAGGGGTGTTATTGGAAAGTCAATACCATTTTCATCTCACATAAATCTGCATGCTGGGTCAAATTAGAAAATTTATTTATGGACGTAGCCCGTAGGGAGTACTTATTTATTTAAAATAGCGATTTACTACTAGAGTGTTTTCCAGGGCGTTAGGTATATAGTACACGATTATTTTCAATAAAAGAATGTTTTGAATAATTTGATATCTTTTTAAAATGTTGTGCTAAAAGTCAAACACTGTTTTGTCATTCCTTAAATAATAAGCACTGATAATGGTAAAGAGTTCTTCACAGCATTATATTATTTATTTTGGTTATTCAATAAAAGTATCATGGCTTCCCGTCAGCAAAACTGGTTGCAGATTGTAAGAACGTTTAATAGATATCAGCCACTCTTTTATTACATTCCCTTGCACCATCTCAATTCTCAATATTGGGCCATCTCAAAATGAACTTCTCACTTTTCCTTTTCGGGGCGTCTCATAATAAAGTTCCCATTTCCTTAAAAGGAAATGACTTTGTAGTTCATATTGTTTTTCTCTCTCTTCTACATAAATATCAATAACACAATTTCACTTTCTTAAACTCCAACCAAAAAGCCAATGGGAAGGAAGTACATTTTTGGATGGAGGGAGTGTTAAATTAATGACCCCTTATCCAGTCTTAATCCCCACTCTTGAAGTGTTTACTTTACCACTTCGTGTGGTTGGGTGTGTTTTGTCTTGTCAATTAAAAGGCATCCAGTCAAGCCAAAATGTTACCCAAGTCCAACAAATGCATCTTTTTAGGGTATTCGTGACTTCAAAACGACAAAAGTGATGTCAATTTTATTTCCCAAAACTGAAATGTCATTTTGTCTCAGTATATGACCTTCATTTAGTGCTTTTCCAACCACAAGTCCAATTCGGCTCTTGGATACTTTCTTTGGGTGAGTTTGGAATGATATGTCTGTCCTATTCTCCTGCTTGTTTGACATATGACTTGCACGTCTTCCATCTTTGACAACAGCATTTCTATGGCATTTTTTTGGCATTGGGCTACAGTTTTGATAGTTCTTGTACTTATTACCATTATATTTTTGCTACTATGTTGTTCACAGTTTAGGTTTTGTTTGTTTACCAGTTTGTTCTGTGGCAACTTTCTCTCCTTATTAGCATTAATATTTTTGTAAACAAAAACCACAAGTCCAAGTAGAAGCCCCATTAGACGTTCTTCCCGCACTTGTTTTTACATGTTTATGACGATCGTCCATGTTATAGGGAATACTTTATTGGTTTAAGGACTGAGGTTGCACACCCCACTTGAGTTGTTCTCTCTTAGTGAGATGTGCTCTAGACATTCTTGAAGAAACATGCATGTTAGACTGCAAACTCATAGACAAGCTTATGGCCCAGACTGGCTAACTCTTACTACGACACGGGGAGTCTGGGAGTCACTATCCAATATGAAAAAGTATGGAGGATTTATTGGAAAATTCATATACCTCAAAATCACAAGATCGAATTTTTCCTAAAGAAAGTGTGCTTAATTAATATCTAAGCCAAGGGAGGTCATTGGGATGGTGCTATCCTATTGCTATCATCAATACGATACAAGGGAAATACTTAATTTTTGAAAAGTGAGTTTACTGTGGGATATTCAGATGCTGACTTGGCTGATTCCCTACTTAGAAATGGTCTACTTCCTGATATTCTATAATGGTTGGTGAGACATTGATCTTTTAGAAGAGTACGAAACATGATGTGGCTGCCAATGGATCAAGTGATGAAGAAAAGTATCCTAGGTACATGTCCGTTCTTTTGGGTGAAGCATCTACTCTAGGTATTGAAGTATGAGAGTAAACCACAAATGCAATTTATGGTGTGATAATCAAGAAACAATGCACATTGCATCAAACCCGATATATCATGAGTGAACTAATTATGTAGAGGTCGATTCGCACTTAATCTGAAAGTAGATAGTATCTACATGCATCATCATAGGCTTTGTAAACTCAAAATCTCATCTTGCGAATAGTTTGAAATCTATTACAGGTCCTATAAAGCCTATAATAGACTATTGCTAACAAGCTTAGTGCGTATGATTTATTGGTTACACCTTGAGGAAAAGTGTTGATACTTGATACACTCATACACTAACCCGACTTATGATGGGCCCTACCTGCTCTGCATTGTACTTGCAAAATATACCTCATTGTATAGTTTGTCTGTATGAGAAATACGATATACTTTCATATTTCACACACTCGGTTCACATAGAGTAAATTCAAGACAATTAATGCCATCATTGTTTTTTCTCATTCTTGTCTGGTGTGTGAATCAAACCAATTTGCAAAAATCAATAATTACAGTTCAATGGAACGTCTTTCTGTTTTTACTTTTTCCCTAGTTAATGCTTTCAGTCCCTTTTCATTTTATTTCTGTTTTTGCAGAGGAACTGCTGTTACAATGAAAAACATGTTGGAAACTCAATTTCCCGGGATCCATGTTGTTCTTTCAAATTATCCTGCCCCGCTTCCAAAACGTTTACTGAGCAAACTGGTACCCATTGTTCAGTTTAGCGTTATTGGTATTATAATGGCGGGTAATCAGATTTTTCCGAGATTGGGTTTCGCTGTTCCTCCACCATGGTATTACAACCTTCGTGCAAACAGATTCGGAACTATGGCAAGCACTTGGCTTCTTGGAAATTTTCTTCAATCAATGCTGCAGAGTTCTGGTGCCTTTGAAGTCTCTTGTAATGGTGAACTGGTAATGACTTTTATTTTTTAGCTTTCCCATAATATTATGGCCATATGCATACAATATGAATAGATGGATATATGTTATCATTCTAGTATAGTTCTTATTTTTTGGTATCTCTCTGCTTAGACAGTATTTGCTCTAGAAATTTCTCTTATGATTTGCATTAAGTATCAAAGAAGCAACTTGATCAGAGAACCAAGTATTCCTTCTTTAACTAAGGACTAAGGTTTCTTAAAAAAACTAAGTACTAAGGGAGCATATATTCAAGGACTTATTTGAGAGATTTGTACTCCGTATTTGTTTTGATTAAGTGACTTCCAATTCAAGTTAGCACATTCTTTGACTTTTAACACTTCACATGTTGAATTGCATATTATATACTTCATCTTATAATCTCAATGACAGCACTTGTGACATAATCCTTTGAAGTTATCACAGATGGATTCATCATTCTGAATAATTTTTCAGAAATGGTATACAAGTTGATTCATACCACCTAACCACTAATTTTCCTTTTTTTGATTTGTTATTGAACTCGTCATACTAAAGTCAATTGTGCTCTTAGATCACATGTTTCTCAAAACTTGTGGTTCAGGTTTTCTCCAAACTAAAGGAGAAGAAGTTTCCCGGGGAAATTGAGTTGAAGGATATCATCGGCAGAAGAATTGCAAGGGGAAGGGTGATAGAGGAAGAGCGTCATACCGCTGTATGGTCATAGAACTCCTGTTTTATTTTCATAAATAAGTTGTATTAGTAAAATGATTGTTTCCTATAGTTTATCTTACCTGATTTTGTAACTTAAGTAAACGTAGCATGTTTCTCTTTCCAAGTACTGCATTCGCAATTTCTAAGTTGTCATTAAACTCGATGATGTAAGAAATAGGAACAATTTACCCGTAAGAAAGAACACCAATGATTTCAGGATAATTTGTTGCCATAATATACTCCTGTCCCAAAAAAAACTTTTTAACTTCTATTTATAACAAAAGCAATTTAAGAAATGAATAGTTTTTATTTTTCTTTCCAATGGTGCCTTCATTTATTAATACGATAAGATAGGATATACTCCGTAATACTTTTCTTAATAATGAAAAAAATATCCGTATGTCATAGACTAAAAAATAGTATAAGTAAAAGGGAGATCTTCATTGAAAGTTAAAGCATTTTTTAGGACAAATGATGAATGTAGTACATGTGAATACTCCGTATGATTTAAAGCCGGCTTCAAAACTAACTCTCAGATGGATAAACTAGAGCTGTCAGCATTGTAAATAGAGCTATCCGCCTATCTATGCATAAACAAAGATTTAATGTCAAAGTATTATATTAAGGTGCGTGAAAAGTTAAATGGGAAAAATCATAATAGACGGAGAGGGTATGAAAGTACAATTGAATAAAAATTTAAGAGTATTAATGTACCTTGTAGTTCAATTTGACTTTGAAATATTAAAACCGGATAGTGGTGTGCATTGTTCGGTCTGAACTCGAACCGACTAGTGTCAACCTTCTTTAGATCTGAATGTGAATCTATCTGATTCTGAAACAAATAAATTTTATGAACTTCCCAATTTTATTTCAAAGATGGGTTTGAGTCATAGTCCCTATTCAGAATCTACTTCTGCAACATCTTGACCAAATCCGCCCACATTAGGATTACTCGTTAACGGTTGATCCAGTTTGATAGATTCTCCCTCTGAAACAAGTGGTTCTAGGCTAGGAGGAAGAAGATTTACGACCTCATTTCTTTTTGATCCATCATTAATGATTATTTCATAACCACCTTTTTCATTTCGCATTATTCTTTTAACCCTACCGGATGTTGTGGCGTTAAATAATGTATTGTTACTTTTGCTGGACAGGTCCTTTTCAAGTCAAGTCTTCGATCCTCAATTTTTCCCTATTTTGTCTTCGGTCTGATCCGGTCCGACCCACTGGATTTTGCTCTGGTCCAATGGATTTATTAATCAGGATGGATATCTCTGGTCTGGAATAAACCTACACACCCAAAGCACCAGTTCATGATGGAGGAGAATATGGTACAACTGGTTGTAATTAGAGATATATACATTTGGGCAGTATTCATTTTTGAAGTAAAATAGTATTCATTCTCGCACAAACGTTACAGTTCATTTTAAAATAATGTAGTACTCATTCTAAAATAACGTAGTACTCATTCTGAAATAACGTTGTACTCATTTTCATAAATTTGTTTAATATTCATTTACGAATAACGTAATGCTCATTTTAAAATCTAGTAGGACTCATTCCCAAATAGTCTAGTACTCATTCTTAAATAACATACCATTCATAAGTTGAAATCTAAAATTTCTTTCTTTTACGCTCAAGATGAGATCGAATTTGAATACTGTCATAGCTAATAGGAATTATAGCTTCACCGACCCATCAGATTTGAATTACAGCATGGCTTATAGCGCGGATCGGAAATCCAAGCAGCCTTCATAGTCATGATCGCGGATCGGAAATCCAAGCAGCCTTCTTCATCTCCGATCGATTTCGCGCGTTCCTGCTGCAGTGTTTTCTTCCTTTCGCCAAAATTAAACGTCGGCTGTACGATTCTTCCCGTACGATCGAAGAGGTTTATGGACATTCAAGCCATCTGTGAATTATGTGAAAAGGAATTGGAAACCCAAGACCACCTCGTGTGGGACTGCAGTGCTGCCAAGGAAATTAGAAAAGAGGTTCTCAACTGGATGGAGATTGCTACTGTGGCAAAACATAAAAGATTGGGAGCAAGAAATCTTGAGTCTGAAACCAAAAAAGAGAAGGTAACAGATCATTTCAACCTGGGCTGCATGTTGTGACATCATATGAAAGTATAGAAACAAAAGAATGCACAAATTAAGTTTTACATTACCTCTTAACGTAAAAAAAAATTGAGTAAATAATTAGCAGTATTTTTTAACTGACTGTATGAAAGCTTTGATTTGTTATTAATAATATTGTGCATTCTGTTAAAAAATACAATTCTAAAGATATGTAAAGACTTGTTAATATGAAAAAAAGTAAACAACACTTTTATATTAGATATTTACTGTATTTCTAACTTAAGTACCAATGCTTTAAGTAGGGCCGGCTCAAGCCAAGGGCAAAGTGGACAGGGCCCAACCACGCCTGTCTCCGCCAGCCACAAGTCAATGGAGGTCCAAGACTTCCTTTGATTTTTTTTCAAATTTTTCAACCTACAAAATTTGGTGAGCTTCGTGTATATGTTTGGTGAGCTTTGCACTGAAGAATGATAAGCTTTTTGGTTAGGGCTTGTGAGCATTGAAACTTTAAAATTTTAAAAATTTAAATTGTGAAAAAATCATGGTGAGCTTTTCCATATAATTTGGTGAGCTTTTTTATACAATTTGGTGAGTTTCGCAATTGTCCTTGGTGAGCTTTGCAGTGATCAGTTGTGACCTTTTTGTGATCTGACCGTAGAATGTCATCTTACCATAAGGTGTCATCTAACTAGGTGTGTGTATGTGTCTATATATATATATATATATATATATATAGAAAGTTATTATGAAAACAAAAAAGACATTTATTACATAATATACTCTCACGGTTCCACGTTTCAATTCCCATTTGCTTACTAAGAGTTTTTTTAAGGGATATTGAGAGTGTTTAGGTAAAGGTGATACTCCGTATAATAGTTTTAATGGAATCAATTTGACCAAAAGTTCAATTTGTTGTTTAAGACCCAAAAATATTTTATAACGCTTTTTTTATAACACTTTCTCACGTGCAAACAAGATTTGTTTGTTATTTGATCTTTGCATCGGAGAGGCACTAAGATTTGAAATAGTGACTTGCACTAAGATTTTAAATAGTGACTTTAAGTGGACAAAACTTTCATACTAGGTTAAAATAGTATTAAATACTATTTAGGAAATAAAACAATTTAAGTGCTATTTAAAAAAACGACTTAAATTTTAATGTTATTTAATGCAAATATTTCAAAAGTTATTTCAATCAAAAGCTTAAAAAGATCCAACAAGAGTTTTATGGAGTACTCTAATACACCCCTCACGTGCAAATGAATTTTATTTATTTGAAGTCTTGCAAATGAACATTATTCTTTTTTAAAGTGTAGGGGACGAAATGATAAGATTTGTCGGTCTAGATCTACAAGCTCTAATACATTGTATGAATTTGTGATGAGAAATTTAATTAAATAGGACTAAAACATAATGACTTTCTCAATATAGGACCATATGTTTTTTATATCCCGATGTAGAACATTTGGTCATTATCAATTAGTCATTATTCAACTAAATATTCATCATTACAGAAGAGTGTTCCTCTCACTAGACATTACTACGTCCTATTTAGGGAATGAAAAAGTTTTAAGTCCTATATTGTGAAATGATTTATGTTTTAGTCCTATTTAGTGCAAATTTCACATTTGTGATCGGGTAGGGTTTACTCAATTGAGTCATAACACACTTCGGTCAACTCGCATAAAAAAATTTATAGGCTAAGATGCATGTATTCCTCAACATAAGCAGTGTGAAGGGGTGATGCGGAAAAAATTGATGGCTTCAACATTGTACAGGAGATTAAACCTTACAAATGTCTGTCAGAACGTTGCTACTCTTTCTTGCGATTTTCATCCACAATTTTCTGAAGTTCCTTTTCACTTGCTGCAATCAGTTGCTTAACAGTGTCGAATGTTGTAAGCCTGATGCTGAAAATGGAACAGACACAAAATAAAGGAGAATCAAATACTATAACAACAACAATAAATCCCACAAAAATATGGTCTTGGGAGGGTGTGTGTTCGCAATCCCCTGGCTACATCACTCTTGGATGTTCTGACAAAAGCTGGAAAAGAAGGTTTAATTAATTAATGGGAGTGTCTCGTGCAGCTGTATTTTATTTTATGTGTGCTCCCTCCATCCCTATTTTATGTTCCCATTTGCTATTTAAGCAGAGAATAAGAAAAACAAAATTGATTAGTTGAGATTTATTTAGAGAGGAAAGAATCAATATGAACTACACAAATCTTTCCATTAAAGAAAATGAGAATTTTAATTAGGGATGACTACTTAATTAGAAAAAGACAAGTGGAAGATGGAATGAGGGAGGGGAAGTAATTTATAAAGATCTGTTAGCCCATAACCATTTCCATTTGGAGGCAGTTTTCATGTACATGTTACCATTCTTCAAGAACATAAAGTTATTTCTATAGGAATACCGCACTTCAGCTAAAATAAAGAAAATGCAAAAAAAAATGCAAAAGTGGCATAGAGAGACCTGCTACTCGGCAGAGTTTTAAGAGCATTGGGCACAAAGCCTCTGTACAATCCAATTGGACCATCATGAGCCACTATACCTAAACAAATTTCAAACAAAGTAATAAGAAAACCACAAAAAGAGGTGAAGACGCAACTTTTCAACTTCATCATAGCGAGAAACTTGGTGTTGGCACCCCATGTTTACCCCAATATTTGACGTTGCCACAAATATTCTATTTTCTTTTACTTTGCGCCAGCGATGGGTGTAAGTCAAATATAGGGGTAATCAAGGGATGCAAATACCGAAATTCGGTAATACTTTGCAACTCATGAATATCTTGACTTTACATTCCACTTGCATGCAAAGTCAAAGAAAACAAAACAACCAAATGCCCCTCATAATAGTAAGAAACTTTGTATATATGAAATTACAGAAGTGCGCAAAATTTGTAAAGTAGCATACCAAACTAAACATTTTGGCTTCTGAAATCTACTTCTAAAACAAATACATCATGAATTTTAATACTAATCTAGTGTTTGAAAATTTCAGACCCTATTCTCAACTTCTCATATAAATGATGAAGCACATTGCAAGATGCACTGAAAGGGATTGTATAACAAAAGACATTCAGCATGTATACGATCAATCATGGAACTACTGTGCCAAAGACCAAGAATGCTTATGCTACTAAACTACCCATTGATAAGCTTAGTACTTCTTGCCGATTGTCATTCCTAGTTAAGAGAATGTGGAAGTAAATGTGTGCAA